GACAGGCAGGGGCCCTGAGGAGGGCTGGCTGGTGTACCTACTGATCAGTCAGATGCCAGGACAGGGGCTCCTGCCTGAGGCCCGGGGCCTGGACCCACCTGTGGAAGGAACAGCTGTTGGCAGGAAGGCCCCTGCCCAGAACTGCCCCCTGTGCGGGGGATGCAGGTGGGCTGACCCAGGTCGGGGTTGGGGAGAATGCTCAGCCTTCTTGTTGGTGCCATCAGGAGAGCAGGACAGAGTCCTGGCTCAGAGCCACATGGGCACCACCAAAGAGCAGAGGACAGGGCTCGCAGGAGAGCAGCCAGAAGCTGAGCGAGGAACCTTGAGGCTCAAGTCCAGGGCTGTGGCTATAACAGACATTTAGTTGGGTTACCATTCTGCATTTATTCAAAGTCTTTCTGGTATTTGGTGGCCAGAGAGAGGCTGTAAGGGGAGGCAGCACTGAACTATCCAATCAGGTTCTGGGGTAGAGAGCTGATTCCTGCACCACCCCCCCAAAAGGGCTTTGGTACCATAGAAACCTCAGACCTAGGGGCACCTGGGTGGCTCAGGTCATGATCTCAGGGTCCTGGGATCAAGCCCTGCATTGGGCTCCTTGCTCAGCGGGAACCCTGCTTGAGGATTCTTTCTCTCCCTCTCGATCTGCTCGCACACACACTCTCTCTCAGAAAAGTAAATAAATCTTAAGAAAAGAAAAGAAGAAACCTCAGACCCAGGTGGGGAGAGAAACTGCTTACTACACTGTTTATCCATCACCACATGGATGGCATCCTCATAACTCCCATTATTACCCCCATTTTCCAGATGAAATAATAAAAGGCTCAAGGTCACCCACTAATGGAAGGTCCCAAATCCAGGTCTGCCTGCAAGGCCCCCCTCACTATGTGCCACACCACAGAACACTGCCTAGCCCTATGAACAAAGGCGTGGCCAGGGTGCCGTCCGTGTAGGACCGCCGGTCTAGTGCGGACGTGTGTGGCATTCCTGCAGGCTGCTTCGGGGTGGCGCCAGAGGCAGGTGCAATTTGGATGTTTATAAAGAACCGCAACCATGCGTCTGTGTAACACATGCGTCCGTGCAGACACACGCATGACACAAATGCAGAGACGGTCACAGGTTTGCAGGGTTTCCGGCAGACTGACGGGGCTGACCTTGTGCAGTGAGCTTTACTTCTCTGCAGTCACTGCTCTTCCCTATGCCTCCAGGAATCTGGGGAGAAGTGGTCCCCAGTCTCCTCTGCCGTGCCCCCCTCATCCTGCCTCGCCTCCCCCGAAGGCCAGGCTTTTGCTCACGGATTTGGGAGGGCACGGCAGGCTCTGGAACACTCCTCCCTCCCCGCTGCCTAGGTCTGACTCTCTAGGGTGAGGGGCGGGGGTGGGGAGGGAATCAGGAGCTTCCGAGGCCCCTCCGTTTGACTCCCTGGAGGGACACACGAGCAAGCACTTCTGAGGGCCCTGCGGGAGCTTCCCGCTGCCATCTCCAACACGGGGCAACCAGATCTGGGGGGCAGCCTCCCCGTCCTGCCACATCCTGCACGTCCTGTAACTCTCCTTGCTGAGTCCCTCTGCCTGGGAAGCAGCCCCTCCGGTGTGGAAGCAGCACGTGGCTGAGCCCATGGGATGCACCCATCCAGAAAGGCCCCTGTGGGAGCCACACTAGACATGGATGTGCAGGCCACACTGTGGCCCGCCCACTCTCCCCTGGGCCCTCCTTTAGGCTCTCCTCTACCTGCCCCCTAGTCACAGGAGGCTGCTTTCCACGGGATGGTGATGCCTCCTCCTCTCTTGGGGGACTCCCACCAGGCCCCAAGTCTCACTTGCCAATTCCCCCAAAGTCTTCTTTGAGATGTGGCAGGTGCATGGCTGGGATGCTAGAGGTGGCAGAGACCTGAGGGAGGGCGCTGGTCCCTCGTGGCACCTCTCTTTAGAATGAGGACACTTAACACTTCTTCATCCTCTCTGTAGGCTCTAGCCACTCATTTCTGGGCACAGGGAAGGCCCTCTGCATACCGTGTCATACACACAGCTGGACATGTGGAAAAAACAAGGCCTAGCGTGCGTATTGCGTCAGTGGTAGCAACAGAGACGTGAAAATTTCTCTGGGATACTGGTCCTGACTGATGCTGGATGGGAGCACCGTCAAGGCCATGGCACCGCCTTGGGACCCTGAATCCAGGATGCAGTTCGAAGCCATCCCATTCTCCTCTCTCCTGTAGCAATTGTGACCTGACGGGCCCCAGGCTCAGCCGCGCGTGCGCACAGCACCCCCCCCCCAACGGGCACAGGCCCTCCAGCCCTCAGCAGGACTTGGAAGCATTCTGCAGGATGCGGGCCGGGGGCTAAACAAGGGAAGAGTCCTTGTTTTTCCTCAGTAGCGGCACCTGCCCAGTGCTCGTGTAAATGTGTTTTCCACCACAGGGCACAGGCAGAAAGAAAACCAGTGGTTGTGGAGACCTCCGAATCAAAGACAGAACAAAGAGCAAGGCCAGGGTGGCAAGAGAGAAGACTCTAAGGCCAGGTCTCACCAGCTGTGGCAGCCTCCTTGCCAGACTGGTCCAGCAAACCGCCCCAGAACAAGAAGGCCAAAGAACTCTGGAAGCCCTTAGTCAATAGCGGGAGGCTGAAGACAAGCCCCTTCTCAGCCATTGCTGGTCAGGGACAAGGCACCTCACCTCCTCGAGGAGGTCGCTAGACATGGAAGGGGCAGAGAGGGAGGCCTGGGAGCCCAGGGCAGGGCAGTGCACCTGGCAGCCCTGGGGGTGCGGGGGACGTGGGAAGGCACAGGCTGGCGGGGCAGCTGGCAGGTATGGCCTGCAGTCAGCTCTTGTATCTGCTGCTGCGCAGGTCTCCAGCCCCCGGCCCGTGTGTGCCCCTCAGCTGTGACATGCAGGCCTGCACTTTGCTAGCTGACGAGGACACCTTTGCCTCTGTGGTCCCTCCTGAAGCTCTGCTGCCCTCAGATGGAAGCCAGAACCTTCTTCCTGGGTTCATCGGGAAGCGGCAGAGAGCACTTGGCATGGCAAACTGTCCGGGGCCTTATGGGCTCACTGTGTTGAAGCTGAAGAAACACAGGCTGTTTCCCCCATACAGTCTGCCCTCAGAAGCCTCTAGAAGGTAAAGATTGGAAGTGTCTGTGGATGCTGCTGAGGGAGCTAAGTGCAGAGCAGGGGGCAGCAAGGCCCAGGCTCCCCACCCAGCCCCAAGGCTGGCCCAGTCCTCAGCTGAGATTGCATTGTTTAAATGAACCCACCAATTAATCCATAGTACTGTGCTCATCAGACCTATGTCAGAGCAGATGTGAAGGACGAAAACCATTTTCCCAAAATGAGCAGCTCCATGATCTGAAAGTCACACCAGCTCCCACCCAGGGATGATGAGCTAGAATCCCAGACATACCCGCTTTGACCCTTTTCTTACCATATGCCCAAAGCCCTGGAGGGGTTTGACTGGCTGCCAGCAGGCCTGTGATCAGGAGGGCCACGGAGGCCTCATGGCCTGTCTTTAGCCTTCTCTCATGTGAAAGACAGGAGGTGGGGTCGGAAGAAGAGCAGGTGAGGCCACACGCTAGGTGGTGAACACCCGCCGCATACAAATGTCATCCCTTCCCAAGTTTATGCACCCACATTACCTGAAGAATTCAAGTTTAGCACTGTCCTTCCCACTTTACTCAAAACAGTAGAAAGCTACCATGTGTGCAATGCGTTCTATGCATTAGGAAGCCTGTCAGTGTGTTATTTATACGTAAGCCCCTTTAATCCCCATAGTAAGGGAAAACTGCAAGCTAGGAAGCTTGTCCCCATTTCAGCAACAAGGAGACAGGCTGACAGCTCACTAAGCTGGCAAGCAACACAGTCAGACCCTGAGCCCCCCGCACTGTGGTTCCCAACCACGCCGGTGGCTCCTGCAGTCAAGAGTCACCTGCTCAACAGGCCGAGACGCTGGAGGAGGAGGACATGATCCCAGGACTGGGGCTCCCCCACTGGGCCACGTTCCCCCACGAAACTAACAGCCATGCAAGACACGTGGGAAGCAGAGGAGACGAAGGAGGACCTGGAGATGAACCAACATGAAGTTGTAGTCTCCTCCAGCCAAGCTGCCAACTCCCACATCCCTGGCCCCTGGCTCCCACCCGTTCAGCTTGGCCCTGGGAAAGTAAACACACATTTGTCACCCAGACAGCACAGTAAGGAGAGGAAATGGGCCTGCAGTAGGAGCAGACAGGGCACCCTGTGCCCCACAGAGCAGGGCTGCCAGGCAGAGGCTGCCTCCACCCAGAGCACAGTCACTTCCCTCCTGTGTTCCAGGCTCTACCTGCTGCCCTTCAAAGTCAAGGCCATGGCAGGGACCTGAGAATCTGGGACGTCTTTCTGGAAAGTTCTAAATGTGACTCCTGGGTTGTGGCCAGGCAACCCAATGAAAGTGGGACAGGTGTCCCTCAACCCCAACTGCCTGCCCCCTTTATCTGGACACCGCTCAGCTATCACCCCTGATAAAAGGATATAGGGGTATACTGGTTGGCAATTTCAACCTGGACCCATCTTAAAGCCATGAAGGTTTATTTGGTCAAGTAATAGGGAGATTGGGTCTCAGGGTGGATGGGTGGACTTGGGTCTGGACAAGTCCTCCCTCCAGGAAGGCTGGCACCCCTTCTCTCCCTGGCCTTCCTGGTCGCTGACCGAAGCGGGCAAAGGAATAGGTAGAAGCCCTCTCTCTGGCTTCTGCCTGCTGCTTGGGAAGCCGGCTCTCGGGCTACATGAAGAGGCAGCCAGCCAGCCCCTGGACCTCTCATCCCAGGCGAACACAGATGGTCACATCAAGCCTGTCACTCTTTTCTCTCTTGACCCAGAGGTGCCGCCGTGGTGCTGAGGCCCTAATGAGCGTGGGGCTGTGGAAGCGTCACACTCCTGCAAATTCCTGGCCGGCGGCCCCAGCAGCTGGAAGGAGTGCCAGCTGGAAGCATATTATCCTACAGCCGGCCTGGGAGCTGGAGCCTGCACATACCTGTTGAAGAGGTTGTTGCGGCGAACCATCCGCAGAAAGCCAGTCGGGTCGGTAACGGAGTTGAGCTTGTTGTTCATCTCTTCGAACTGCTGGTCCATGATGTCTCCAGCTTCACTCTCCGTCTCACTGCTGGCACAGGCCCTGCAAGGGAAACCGCAGAGTGAGACAATGGGAGAGAGGAAGCGCTCAGCCACGCGAGTCTGCCCTGAGGTGCGGTGCCACTCCCCCGCCAGGCAGACCCCTGCTACAGAGTGCCTCCCTGAGGCCGGTGTCCACCCTGCACCCTCTCTGGTGGCCCTGCGGCCTCCTCCCTCCTCCGTCAAGTGCTTCTCAAGAGGCACTCTGGTTGGCGGTTTCTGGTGGTCGCCCCCACTCGGCCGTGAGCCCCCTACAGTCAGTGCTGTGCCTGAACCAGGGTCACACCCCAGCATCTCACCTAATGACACACAGTAGGTGCTCAACAGTGTGTGCTGGGCTGACTGGGTGCTCTTCCCAGAGCAGAGCTCGGAGCACATTCCAGTCCAGTCCGTTCCAGAAACGGTAACTAAGCCCCTAGCACAGGCGTAGCACCAGACTGGGCCTTGGGAACACCTGGCCTAAAAGGCAATTTCCACACGAGGAGACAGATGTGCCCACGAGTGGCCACAGTGCCAGGCGGAGAGAGCACTGTCTGAAATGTGGGCAGAAGCCTTGCCGACAGGAGCCCATTTTCCAAGCTCACCAGGAGGATGTTACAATTTTCAGATTAATAAATTCATATTTCCCTGATGACAGACTGTAACAGAACATCTACAATGGGTTTTAAATAAACAGAAATACCCAGGAGTGCCTTGATTCACCAGCATGATTAAAATGACAAAAGGCTTGTTAACCGTCAAAGCCAAGCACTTGTGGCCCAAGAGGACCCCTGCGGTGGTGAAGTGTCCGAGGGAGCACTGCCCACCTGTGGCCACCCCCCTTCCAGTTGTTCCCACACCTCACCATGCCCCGAGGCTGGCACAGGCAGCGCCGGGCCCTGCCTCAGCGCCGGGCCCTGCCTCCCTTCAGCATGCTGGTTACGCTCAGACTTCATGGAAATGCTGTGACATCCAGGCCACAGCCAGCTCTCAGCCCTCACTGACTCTGTCTATAGTTTCCTGATGACTAAGAACTAGTGTGGGAGAGTGGTGAGCACCAGGGCCCCAGAGGAAGAAGACGGACTCAACACGCAAACCACTCAATGCTGAAGAAGTGGGCTCTGGAGAGGGAAGGACTTGCCGGCACCCTGAGCGAACAGGCTCTGCGCATCAAGAGGTGGGTTTAACGTGAACATGACCTGCTTCAAACAGACAGGCTGGCGAACCTGGGACATCAGAGGGTCGCAGAGGAAGGGGAATAAGCCCCTCACTAGGCTGTTACGGAGCCAAATGATACACAGTATGCGAAGCTGCCTGAAAAACTTGAACGCTCTGTGTGGATGTCAAACCTGCTGTCACGGGCCACCTCGACTGGGTCCCCTGGGGGGGTGGGCAGCCATTTGGTCAAACGTTATTCTGCGTACATCTGGAGGGTGTTACTGGATGACATTAACATCTGAATCTGAAGATTGAGGAGAGCAAACTGCCCTCCGCAATGTGAGTGGGTCCCATCCAATCCACTGAGGGCCTGAACAGAACGAAGAGGCTGAATAAGAGAGAATTCCATCTCTACCTGAGTGTTTTCAAGCTGGAACATCAGTCTTCTCTTGCCTTCAGACCTGGGCTCAGCCTGGAACTTAAACCATTGGCTCTCCTGGGTCCCTAGCTTGCCAACTGAAGATCTTGGGACCTCTCAGCCTTTATAACCGTATGAGCCAATTCCTTATAATAAGCCTGTGTGTGTGTGTGTGTGTGTCTGCATGCACACAGGTGCCCCATTGGTTCTATTTCTCTGGAGAACTGAGACTAACATGCCTGCTAAGTAGGCACCAGAGCCCTGACTCAGCCATGTTCTTCACAGAAGGTCATGCAAAGGCCCAGTCACTGGGAAGGTTTCCCAAGTGCTGAAGCCCTAAAGGTGTCAAAAATGGAGCAGTCTTCAAAGAGAGCCCAGAGGTCTGATTTCTTGGCCAGCTATTCACCTTCACCCCAGAACCATGCTAACCACTGGTAAAGCCATTAGCCTGCTTTTCTTGCCAGCCCACACAGTCAGAACAGCACTTCAAAGCCAGCACAGTGCCTGGCACGCAGTAGGTATGCCACAAGAAATTGGTGAATGAATGAATGACTTGAGCTGGAGAGCATTTTATAATATGCAAAGTATTCTTATTTTATTGTCTGTGAGACAGCTCTTACTGCTTCCATTTTACTTCTGAGGAGACTGAGGTTTAGAGAAGCCAAGGAACGAGGCCAAAGGGCACCAAGTGGTAAAGCCAGGCCTGCACCCAGGTCTTTGGCACTGACCGCCCCACCTGTCCCCACCCCCCCAAGGCTCTAAGCTTGTCACACTTCCAAGTCTCTCCCAGCTGGGGTTTGACAAGGTGGGGGAAGGGGTGAGTATAGGAAGCAAGAGAAACTAGGAAACATCTGAGCACCTCAACAAATCACCATGGCTTCCATCCCGCTGGAGAGCAGGGGATGAGGTTGAATTCCTCTCTCAGCCCCACGGGCGGCAGCTGAAGGTTTGAAATGCTCCCTGGGGGGCTGCGGGCCCTTCACAGAGACCCTGGTAAATATCACTCAACAAGCCCCTCTGTCCAGGGACACATTCATCATCTGAATGCGATGGCCTGCTTGGAGCTGGGAATCTGCTTGTCACTCAGCGCTTTGCGAAGGGGAGAAGAACTGGCTGCGACCGGTACCAGCCTCCATTATCTTGCAGTCCCACTCCTGCTGTCAGCCCCAGACAGAGCCCTCAGAATCTCATGCTTAATGGGGTTGCTTTCTATTTTCTGACCCTGCAGAGTATTAACACTGAAGGGAAAAACAAACAGACAGTGTCACAGACAAAGGAATCCTCCATTTACAAAACAAACCTCATCTCTACCGCGGGGATCCCAAGAGTGCCTTTGTATCGCGACCACCACCCCCACACCCATGTCTTTGAGAGACTTTCTAGAGATGGCACATTACCTAGTCTGATTCCACTCGCCCTGACTCCACAATGATTACGGAGCAGGACGTATGTGCAAGGATTGCAGAGGCTAAACAGGGGAGGGTCACACTACACCTGCCTTCAAGGCACTTACGAGCTAGGATGACTAGTGGCTGCTGGCTAAGATGGATTAAGGAGTACAAGGAGGGCACTGGCCTATACCCAAGATAGGGAGGGCATAAAGGCTTTCCCGGAACTTGCTGTATCTGAGAGGTATCCCGAAGAATATGACTTTGATAGGTGGAGACTTGGTGGGGGCTGAGGGGGTGCTTCCAGGCAGAGGGAATGGGATGAGCAAAGGCATGGAGAGAAGCTAGTGTGGGGGCTCTTTGGGGCCAAGGAAATAGCCCGGTTGAGCTGGAGTAGAGGGTATGAGCGGGAGGGAGGAGGAATAACGGTGGAGGGCTTGGAACTTGGAAGGTGGTTGAGAACTGTTGGCCCAGGCCTCTGAACATGGGGTGACAGGCTCAGGGCTGCTTTCTGGCAGATCGTCAGCTGGTCCAGAGAGGAGAATGTGGGATGGATGGGTGGCTATTACCCATCTGCTCAGAAGCAGCCCTGAGGGCCCAGAGTCAAGCTCACTGAAGCCTGATTAGCCCCTCGCACCTACCAGAAGCCCATTCTTGGTAGTTACTGTTGTGCTAATACATGAATGTGCCTGGGTCTCAACATGCCAGGTGAGGCAAGTCTTCCACAAACCCCTGGGCTCTGAAATCTTGATAGTGGCTCCCTCCTCTGCTTCAAGCCTCTGTCCCTTGTCTCCCCTACAAACAGACTAGCTGGGTATAACCCCATTTTCCTGATTCCTCCCCACTTTTTTTTTTAAGATTTTTTTTTTTTTTTATTTGACAGAGAGAGACACAGCGAGAGAGGGAACACAAGCAGGGGGAGTGGGAGAGGGAGAAGCAGGCTTCCCGCAGAGCAGGGAGCCCGATGCGGGGCTCGATCCCAGGACCCTGGGATCATCACCTGAGCTGAAGGCAGACGCTTAACGACAGAGCTACCCAAGCGCCCCACCCCACTTTTTTTTTTATAAAGATTTTATTTATTTATTTGAGACAGACAGAGAGAAAGAGAGAGGGAGAGCATGAGCAGGGGGGAGGAGCAGAGGGAGAGGAAGAAGCAGGTTCCCTGCTAATCAGGGAGCCCGACATAGGGTTCGATCCCAGGACCCTGGGATCATGATCTGAGCTGAAGGCAGATGCTTAACGACTGAGCCACCCAGGCACCCCTCCTCCCCACTTCTTGTTCTCTGTTGTCAGCAACACGGTTCTGGCTTGTCCTGGGGTTGGGCCAGCTATCCCATTAGTCTAGACATATGAACTAGGCTGGCAAGGCTGAGAGTGGAAAAGTGGGAACTGACAAAAGAAATATTACCAGAAGGAGAATGTATTTCTTTTTGGGAAACTCGTTGAAGGGACAAGTAGCAGTTAAAATATGGCAGATGGGCAACTGGTGGCAAAGCAAGAAATTGAAAGTAGAAGGTGGTCTTAGGTGGAAGAGGAATGGGTTCAGTTAGGACATGCTGAGCATGCAGACAAGAAGTTTAGTCAGCAATGCCAAGTGTGCAGATGTTGATTCAGTTATGTAGACACTTCCTTCCTAAAGGCCTAGAGACTATAGGCATCCAGGTCTGGGGCTCAGGGGAGAGGTCAAGACCAACTGTTTGATGTCTCATTCATTTGTTCACTCAACAAATGTTACTAAGTATTTTTTATAAATATCCTGCTATACTGGGTTCTGGTTCCAGGTAAAATGGAGTAAGCACATTCCACCCCATCCTTCCTGCTGAATATAATTCTAAGCTCTGGATGGGGATGGACTGCATGGAGCAGCTATGTGAGGAGTGTGAAAAGTAAATAATATCAGGCAAACTGGGGAAGAAGACCAGAATTTGAAGTGCCACCAAATCAATAATGAGCTTCATGTTTTTCCTCCTCTGGAATCCCTCAGACAGTTCTCCATGCAGCCCAAAATGCAGAAATGGGCATCAGGGCGAACAGACAAAGCTCCAGGAGGAGCCCTATATT